CCGAGCAATGCAGGCTGAGACCCTGGGTGCTGACCACCCCCTTCTCTCAGGATTTGCCTCCCGAATCCCCAAACGGCGGCCTATGGACGAGACGCGGGTTAAAAAGAGGGAGGCAGGAGTCTTCCACAGGCGATCGGCGCTCGCTTGTTTTTTGCGTTAACAAACGCTGCGGTGCTCGCTATCCCGGACTTTGTGGAAGCGCTTGGCACATGGTTAGACCTTGGATCAATGTGGGCTCTTTTTCGATGCGTGCGGGTGTGCGCGCAGACCCCAGATGAGCCAAGCTGGAAAAAACCGGTACTGCAGGCTCCCATAGACGGTTCTGAGGATCGATTGTGCTGGGCACCAAGAGCCCCCAGGGTCCGCCGCAGGCAATCGGATGCGTGTTTACCAAGAAAGCTCTATCTCCAGCCTTTTTCCTGTGTTGCAGAGGATATTCGCGATATATCTGGAAGATGGCACATCCACTCTTTCAGATGCGAACGCATTCAGATACGGATGCTCGCTTGACTGTTTGCAGCTTTGGGGCATTTGGATGTGCGTCCTATTGCATCCGACATATGTGAAGACGCTGCAATATACCGAATCTAAGGTGTGCTTGTTTGCGCGCCCAAACATAGATTCCAAACATTGCACATCATGGCACCAAATGAGTGGTAGAAAACCCCAGCTCCCCTGGCTGCCGCTGCTACTGCCAGGCGGATATGGAGGATGGTGCCAGAGCGCCCTGAATCAAGCAGTGCACTGTTTATGGAGGACAAAGATCGTCTGCAACACAGCGAGCACTGCCACGTGAGGCCTTCCTTGGGAGGGAAGGCGCTGATTTTGCTGTCCTTGTTGCTTACACTATTCCATGCGCTCCGCGTCAGCAGGCAGTGAGACAATGAGACAGCGGTGCCAGCGGAGGATGAGGAGGGAGGAGAGAACTCAGAGGATCAGCCAATATGCCTGCTGCTGCATGCACAAACATGCTTAGCATCACACCATTCGCTTAAACAGCCGCCCGCATATAGACGGCATTCGTTCCCAGCGTCCCGCTCCCGGAAATAGAGAAAAAATTCGAAAAGAGGGACCTGCAGGCTCTGCTCATGCTGCACCGCTGAGGAAAGCATCTGCTGCGAGAGAAGCCATTGGTTGCGCTGGGTTCACCGTGTCCGCCAGAAAAAGAATTCCTACGGCACATGAGACCGGACATGCCTGGCACATCCCCCTCCCGAACATAGAGACGCTGGCTCCTCCGACCTGTTCCCACACCATCCCCAACCCCAGGCGCTGCCGGCCCTCCTGCTTGCATTGCAGGAGCCATGCTACCCAGCCCCTCCGACGCTCCTTGGGCCCCAAATCTATGTCCTGGATACCTGGGATTTCTTGTGTGATGGCAATGGTGCCAGCGAACACAAATGGCTGCCAATCGTAGTCTTGCCAACAGTAGTCTGGCCCATAGCTTTCTCAAGCACGCATATGGTGCAGATCGACATGGAAAAACAGATACCCAAAAAAGAGTGCTTGTGAAAAAAAAAAAAAAGCTCTCCAGAACGGATGTCCACCTGCGGGCAACCAGCCACTGTGCGCTTTGCCTGAAGCCAAACGGCATTACAAACTCCGCTCGGTAGCCGGGTATCCTCCGTCTGCTTCATACTATTGAGCTATGACACTAGAGGTTGGTGTTTCACCAGCCCAGAGCGGGGAAATTCAAGGGCAAATTTGTTTTTGGGGATGCGAGGCTAGGAGCAGAGATAACAAGGAGTGACCACAGTTGCTTTAAGCCTGACCCATTTCTCCCGGACCGTTTAGACCGAAACGGTCCAGCACACAAGCGTGTGTGGATCACCCTTTCTCGCCCCCATTTTTCTGATGGATACCCTCATGGAAGTGTTCTGCCAAGAACACATGCACGCGGTGCAATTCTGGTTGGGAACAGTGCATCCCTTCGCTCCGTCCTTTTGCTTTTGCCCTCGTACCCTGCAATCCACATAACCCTTGTTGCATGGTTTCATCCCTCTTGCAGCAGCTGCTCAGCACCCGCACTCGTTCCACAACAACCCACAAAGGATGCACCTAGCCCGACCCTTTTCTGTTCTTCCACAAATAAAGCCTAGCACATCATTTCTTGGCATGGTTACGGAATCACCAGCTTACTATAACCCCTGTTGCCACTGTAGGCATGTTGTTCGAAACGCCTCTGCCACACATGAGCGTACTCGGGATGTAGGTAGGAACGGGCTCCACTCCTCACAGTAAAGGAGGGCGGTGCGTTGCATCTCTTAAAAAAAAAAAACAAGAAAAAGCGAGCGACGGCAGCTGTGCATAGCAGATCCGGCTTTCGCTCCAACATATAGGGATGTGCCTGCCTTGAAAATCGGCCCCCTTAGTCCTCACTCCACTCTTCCTGGTTGCCTCTGAGAGGCAGGATGAATGCACAAGCTGAGCCCGGGGGTTCTCCTTTTGGCACTGTCTAGGGTGAGAACTAGGACCCACATGAATGTGATCTGAAACCTACTACGCCGCCGGGAGCCTGTTAGCAAAGAAATAGTCTGGCCAGCATGCCGGAATTTCCTCGGTACTTGTTTGTAGCAAGCTACCTTCTAAGATCACCATGCGCCATCAAGTCTCATATGGTGCCAGGTGCACCCGGATAATTGCGAATTATTTCCCTCAGATGAACCAGGCTCAATTCATATCCATTTTGGCCACACCCACCTCGGACTACATATACGGGATGTTGAATCGTGCTATGCAGCGCTTCCAGCTCCACCGAGTCGAAACAATGGCCAGTATAGAATGCATTCTGTTCTAAAGAACAGCGTGTTTTTTTTTTTTCGGTCAATTGGCAGAGAGGGGTGGCTGCTGAAACATAGTTTGAGAGCCTCAGAACAGCAACAAACAGGGAATCGTCTGTAGAGTAGGCAGCATCGCCATCACGGTAGCAAATGCCTTTTATTTCTACGCGTTCGATAATTGCGCACGATGAGGAAGCATGCCCTCCGCCAGAGAATACATGGGTGCAACCTGTGTCCAGCACGCACCACACTGCTGTAGCCGGTCTTCCCACATGCTGCCCCTTCTGCTTACACAAGCACCCAATATGCCTATGGAGTTGGAAAAGAGTGCTGGATTCTCCTGTATCCAATATATAGGCTAGAGCATCACAGCAGACCGAAAGCGTGTGGGCATTCAAAGCATGCTTTTTATTCAACAAGCTAGTAGCATGTCAGAGGTTTTGTGATCTTGTCACGGTACTGCTCAATGTTGTCGAACGTGAGAATAACAAGGTCGCGCTTTGACAGCGGCTTCTTGGTTAGCGGGCAGATGTTACGCTGGCTGCCCTCGGGTGGGAACATCAGGCAGCGCACCCAGCTGTTGTAGCCCATCACATGGCCATACGGCGAGATTGCCGGCTTGCAGACTGGCTCCAGCGTAATCGGATCAATAAGATCCGGCAGCGGGTTTGTTGGGTCAGCACCAGCTCCGGCCTCGTCGCTCTCGAATCCTGACTCGTCGCTTTCGTTGCTAGCTTGTGCTGCACCACCCAAAGTGGTACCTGATGCTGCCAGTCGGCTCGAAGGGGGTGCCTCAATGGCACTGCTGTTGCCGCTGTCGGTGTTCATGGCGCTGCTGTAGCCATGGGCACGGCGGTTGCGACCACGAACCGTAGCGCTGCTCTCACCGAAACCAGACCAGTCGCCAGCACGGCCGCGGCGACGCTTGGATGACGACGAGTCGTGGTACTCGCCATCACTTGTGTCACCGCCATCGTTAGCGTCGTCGCTGAGCTCAACGTCATTGGCACGAATGACGTCCTCGTCGGATGAGTTGTCTGCATAGCGGCCGCGGCGCTTACGCTTGCGCACCACAGTGGCTGCCCGGGTGGACTTGCGAGTGCTAGCCGATGCAGTGGTGCTGCTTGCCGGCGTTGGGGATGCATCGGCAGTTCCACCTGAAGATTTGCCAGCTGCATCATTATTGATTGCCTCAGCTGGTGTCGCTGCTGCCTCTGGCTTGCCTGTCGCCGAGTCGGTGCTGCTTCCACGCGCAGCGCTCGACGAAGCGGAGTTGTTAACCTCTTCCTCTTCTTCCTGATCTTCGTCGTCGTCGCTGTACCCGTACTTCTCTCGGGACATGCGCACATGCGGCTTCTTGTGCTTTCGGAACACACGCATCGCTGTACCGTCGGGGTTCTTCTTCTTGGTCGTGAACAGGTAGTGTGCTTTGCCCTTCTCGTCGAGCACATAGTTGGGATCATGGATCAGGCGGTTCTCGACCAGGTATCGGTAGTAGTTTGAGCACTGGTAGCCGACACGCCCGGGAATCGTCATACTAAACACGCCCCACTGGCCGTTGGCACCAATCTCCTTGAGACGCTGGTGGAACAGCTTCTGCTCCTCGGGCGTCCCATGGGCCAGTGCGCTGCTCCTCACCTGGGGCATTGAAACGGTAGTAGTATGTGTTTGGTTTGGTCTTGATCGCCTTAAACGCCTTGATACGAGCCTCAGACCAGCCCTTCATTGCCCTGCTAAGATCAATGCCCGATCCATTCTTGGCAGCAGCAGCGCGCTGCAGCTGAGCAAGCGCATCGTCCAGCGGCAGCCGGCCAATCGTCCGGTACTTGTCACGGTTCTCGCTCGTAGTTGTCTTCTTCTGGATCTTGGTACGCTTCTTCAGCAGCTCCTCGTACTTTACGCGCTGCACATCAGTCATCTGCGGCGTCTGGGTCAGAGGCGTGTGGCGAAGAGCAATCTCCTTGCGGAGCTTCATCAGATACCCAGGCGTCGAGAATTGGTAGATCACCTCGTCCACATCGTTGCGACCCTCCTTCAGCGCCTCGCGAATCTCCTCATCCGCCAGATGGCTGTACATCTGCCGGATCCGCTCTGCCTTGTGCGCAAATTCACGCCGCTCAAACTCGGCAAACTGCTTTTGCTGCAGGGCAACGCGCTGCTTGATGATATCCATTTCCTCTTCAGTCACCTCGTCCTCAAAGATGCGCTCCTTGCGCACGCGCTTGATTGCATCGCTCTGCTGGATGAGTGATTTTACGTGATCGGATGTCTCACGGTCCAGCTGCACAAACTTGGCGTTGTCCCACTCATCGTCACCACGCGCTTTGGCGTCTTCAAGCAGCTGCTGTTTTTCCAGCAGCTTGTTGCGCAGCACATCGCGGACACTGACACCAACCGGCGTATCGGCTGCGGCATCGGCCCTCGCATCAAGCGACAGGCTGGCAATCGAGAGAGTACGCAGCTTGGCGCTCTTGGCCGGTGAAAAGAACTGCGACTGCGGGCGAACCTCTGCAGGCGTCTTCTTTGTAGCCATGTCGGAAATAATAGGAGTGGTAAAAGCAAGTGCAGAATTTGGAATGCAAAGCAGAGAAGGTGACCAAATGCAAGAACCCACGCGTCAAGTGCTCGTGCACGCGTTTCTGGCACGCGAAATTTGCAGCAGCGCCACCGGCTCACAGGTGCCATCGCGGCTCGCGGCTCAGCTCTCCAGGATCATAGTCCGCGTGGTTGATAATGTCTTTGGTTTGGAAAAACAGCAATGAGAAGGGGAAGACTAAGAGGATA